AAAGCCAGCAGGGGATGTGTTTCTTGCCCTAGGAGCTGAGTGGAGGGGGCTACTTCCTTTAGCCCTGGGAGCCTCCTAGGCAACAGCGGCAGTAGACCGTGACCGTGCATGCGGGGAGCCCTGGGCACCTACACGATGCCTGCCTGGGTTGGCCGACGTCCCCACCCCATGCTGGCTTTCTTGACTGTATCTGTGTGCCCGGGTCCGGCCCTTCTCTCCGCTCCCGAGGGACAGCATCCCCCCACTTCAGTGCACAGCCTTGGACAAGAGAAAGCGGGGTGAGGCGGCCAGGCCCATGGCTAGATGCACCCAAGGCAGGAAACAATGCCCTTAATGAATGGAGCAGCTCTCCACACCAAGAACTGCCCCTTGTTTGCATCTGCATAGGCAGCCTGCTCTGTGTCTGCACGCCCCGGCACCGAGCCCTGCGCCGTGACTGCAGGGGTTTGTTTGCTGTGCATCTTAGGATCTGGCCAGGATCTAGTTCAAGGGGTTGGATAAAATCTCATCGCCCCCTTGGACCATCTCCACAAGGCCCCCAGAAGCAATGGGCCAGGCTCTAGTGTCTGCTCAGCTCGAACCCCCTTCACACACACACCCGCCCACACACCCCCCCTCCCTCCCCCCCCCCCCCCCCCCCAAGCAGTCACCACCCAGGAACAGCGGGAAGCTAAGCAGCTATTTACCTTTTGACACCTAATTACCTCTGAGTGCAGCAGGCCTTGGGAGGGATTAGCTGAGGGGCCTTTTGTTCCCTCACCTCTTCACACGCCCTCCCCTGCACGTACATGCCCATCGGCACATACACACATCACCAGGCGCCCACACACACGGGCATGCAGGAGTGTATGCACACCTGCCTGCTTGCATGCTCAAATGCATGACCCTATACATCTGAGAACACATGTACTTCTGGGCAGGCACATGTCAACACCCAGGCCCCCCACAGGCCTAAGAGCACACACAACACATGTACACCTGGAGACATGCCTGTAAATATGCATGTAAAACTGCATGTACACCCATGTGCCCTGCACACACCTGTGTATGTTCAGGCATACATACATACATATATATATATATATATATATATATATACACACATACATGAGCCTGGGCGGGCATACACCCTATAGGTTTCTGCCCGAGCACCTGCCATCTGGATCTTCGAGCACTTTGCAGACCAATGAGGTAAGCCTTGAAACCCCCCTGTGAGGAAGGCAGGTATTCTCCCCAAAGAACAAATGGGGAAACAGGCACAAAGGGAAGTGAGTTGCTCCAGGACACAGCTTGAGTTGGTTTCAGAGAGTGGGGGGTATAGAACCCAGGACTCCTGATTGCTACTCCACCCCTGCTCTAACCACTTGATCATATTCCCTCCTAGGCCCAGCAATAGAACCAAGGAATTCTGCTTCCCAGATCCCTGGAGTTAAGAATAGAATCCAGGAGCCCGGCCTGTTCTGCATACCCGGCCACGCCCCTTTCACAGACTATGAAGTGAAATGGTTAACACTGTTGATATGTCTGTGAGCTTTAATTAGGCTTCCACATTAACACTCCATCAAGGAAATTCACATCTTCTCCTCCTCGTTTTTCAATCTGTCTGCTGATTTCCCCCCTCCCCCAGCCCATATTGGCTGGGCTGGCTATTAGGGTGCAGAAAACCAGACGCTGTCCTGAGTTTGAATGTAAATGCTGAGACTCCGATAGAGAACAGCTGAAAAATCTGGCTGTGTGAATTTGTATTATTGTAGCTGATGGCTTGTCTCACCTTGTCCATGTGCACAGATAATGAATACCCCCTCCTTCTGAGTGTCTGCAGTGTCCTGCATTGTGTGTGTGTGTGTGTGTGTGTGTGTGTGTGTATGTATATGTATGTATATATATATATATATATATATATATATATAAACACATAATTAAAATAGCCATCTATTTTCCAAGGGAATTGTTGTACCTGGCCATTTTCTCAGGGGTTACAATGAGTTCAACACTGGGGCAGCAGCCCTGCTGCATGAAACCTGCCGCTCCATAAAATAGATGCCGCACAGGCTGTGGTAAGGAAAGCATCCTCCATACACTGCTGCCCTTCCAGATGCCTCAGTCCTGCACTGGAGAGATGGGGAAACTGAGGCAAGGTGGAGCCATACAACTTGACCGAGGCTGCAAAACAAATCAATGGCAGGAATAGTGCTTGTCATCTCTTCAGGGCAGTGGTTGTCTTTTTGTTCTGTTAGTACAGCGTCGAGCACATAGGGAGCTTGGTCCCTTAGCCACTCCCCTAAGGAATGGAGCCCTGGGGAACCCTGCCTTCTAGACTCCCCTGCTCTAAACATTGCCCCCACCCCCCACCCCAGGAGGCCTGACTCCTAGTTCCTCTGCTCTAACCATGCTGCACCTCAGTGTTTTGTTTCATTATTCCTTGATGGCTGCGGGTGAGCTCCAGCTCTGAAATAGCAACATGCCCTGGGCAGATGCCAAGCGGAGTTCCCTGCTCTAGCTGCTAGTTCGAACTGGAGCTCCTTCCTTGTTCAGGGCATGGTCTAAACTGCTGCCTAGTGGGAACTAAATGCCCTAGCGACCTCATATCGCCACTCAGCACAGGCCCCTGCCCCACAAGCTGCACCCCCCACCTGCTTCCAGTGCATTGCCTGGGCTGGCTGAGTGACATCCAGCCAGTCACCTCCCCTCCAAACCATGCCTGCATGTGCTTGTGCTCCATACTATGCACTTCCCCGTGGCCTGCCCCGACACCCGGTGCCACGGGGCGAGGGTGACGATCCTCAGTACACTAGTTCCTACTCCTCCTTAGTTCTGCTGCCTGCGGGGGATATCAGTTCCTCCACGGAGCTGTGAGCCTGGCCACGTGACTGCCCAATAACCCCATCAGCGCCTGCCCCTTCTGCAGTGAGAGAGAGACCCTGGCATGTGCCTGGCTGCAGGGCACCAGGTTGCAGTCTCCTCCAGAACCAACTTGTCCAGAGCCCTGCAATGCTGCCGCCTCCTTGCACTGGACAAGATGCCTAGCCTTCAGCAGAGGAGGGGGAAGCTGGGTGATGGGGGGCAGGGTGTTCTCTGTAATGGTGGGGACCTTTCCCACCCTCATCTGTCTGTATGGCATCAACTGGTTGCATTATCCAAGGGTCTCCACCCCTCTGGGTCCCTTGTTTGACTCTATGATCTGCGCCTCTTCTCTGTTCATTTTGTGTTAGCTGATCTCCTTTGTCACTACAGTGCCACATTCACTTCGTCCCTGTGTCCCTCACTGGGACTGGGGGCTAGCACTGCATGGGAACAGCCCCAACCAGGCACAGCTGTTGGCACGACGGGGGGGGGGGGGGGGGGGGGGGGGGCCCCGGGGGGGGACCCCCCCCCCGGGGGGGGGGGGGGGGCGGGGGGGGGGGGGGGGCGAGTTGGATGCCCTGCAGTGTTAATCTCCTCCAGGGAGCGGATTAGTAGGAACCTGGCTGGCTGCTTTCCCTGTTCTTAGAGAGAGACTGAGAACCTCCGTGAGCCAAACTTTTCAGGGGATGACAGAAACCTTCCAATAATTGTGTGTGGGTGGGTCATTTAATGACAGGAGCCTGTGTAGTGAGAAGCAACCAGGCAGGTGGCTGGTTGAGGGGAACGGAGAGTGCAGTTCACCACGTGTCTTAATATGCAGATATTTTCTGAGCAGTAGCCCTGCAGGGAAATACCCAGCCTGTGGTTAGGACACAGGAGGGGCTACTCCAGGCAGTTAATTTCTCTTTACAAGTGCATTGATTTTAGCTGGAGGATTAGGCCTCTTAAATGCTGGATGAAGGTGGTAAATCTAATCAAGAGGATTTGGGTTCCCAATCCCCATTTATCTGTGTGAGGGCAGCTGTGGGCAGGTCTGACTTCCTGCCTCTCTCAATAATAACAGGTGCCCTCAGTTCTGAAGGGGATTTTCTTCCTTTTACAGGTGTAAAATAATCTGTTTTTCCATGCCCCATCCCTGTTACTCCAGCCCTTGCCCTCTGATGGGCATGTAAACTAGCGGTTAGTGTGAACTGGGTTCTTCTCTCCCTAACTCTGCCACTGAATTGCTCTTTAGCAAGTTGTGTCCCCACTCAGTGCCTCAGTTTCCCCATCTGATAAATCAGTCATATAGGTACAAAGGGCACCATCTAAGGAGGAGTGAGCCTTTAGATCAGACTGTTGTCCCATCAGGTTGGGGATTGGGCATCATACGATAGCTTGTACCCCATGCTTTGGGGGAAGGCAGCAACTCCACCAGTTAGTTAGGTGCCCGATTCGGCGGGTAGAGATCGATCTTCTGGGATCTCATCTGGACACGATAAATCTATCCCAGAAGCGCTCCCCCGTCGACTGCGGAACTCCTGCTCGCGGAGAGGAGGAAGCGCTGTCGACTGGGGAGCTTGCCTGCGCTGCGTGGACCCGCAGTAAGTAAACCAGCTACACTATTCTCCTAGCTGAAGTTGCGTTTCCTAGATCGATCCCCCGCCCCAGTGTGGACCAGCCCTTTGAGGAGCTGGGCCCATGTGGCTGTAGTACCCCCCTCACTCCTGAGCGGGGCTTTATGCAAACCACCCCCTCTCCGCGTCCATGAGAGATTAGTTCCCTCGGCCGATCCTGGAGAGGGGATGGGGCACCGGAGGTTTCGACAGCTTTATGATAAGTGATTTATTTTCCAGTTCACAAGCCAACAGAAAGGACAGTTGCCGCAGCACAGCGAGGGCTGGCTGGGCAGGACTCTTCCCTCCCGAACCTAAAGCCTAGGGCGTGAGCAGAGATTTTCTCCTCAAACCCCCCTGCTGCTCATCAACACCCCCCCCCCATTCACACCCCTTTCTCTCCGCCCCTCCGGCGGGGGGAGCCGTCCTCTGGGAGTGTCCCAGCCCAGGCAGACCCCTCCCCGCAGAACGCGGCCAGGAGCCTGCCGAGGGGGGCTAAGCAGAGCGAGCGCCCGGAGCCTGCCGCACGCACACTGGGCAGAAGCCGGTGTCCGCTCGGAGATGCTGAGGAGACGGCGGGTCTTCGCCGTGGAGCCGCTCTGGAGCCGAGGTGAGCCCCCCGGGGAGTGGCTGTGGGTGGTAGCCGCGGAAGGGAGGGGAGGGCTGGGGACGCCCTGGGCTCTCTCCGTTCCCTTTGCGCTCCGGGGCTGGGGCGGGTTCTGCGCCCCCGGGGCTTTCCAGCGCCCTTCCATGCGCGCAGCTGGCTCCGGGGTTCCTGCCGCCGCCGCGGACAGGTACTGAGACTCCTCTGCCCGCAGCCGAGAGTGGCCCCGGTTCCCCCCCCCCCCGACCTTCTCCTCTCCACGGGGCGCTCTCTTCCCCGCGCCTCGCCTACGCCCAATGCGCCCTGGTAGTAGGGAGTGAGTCTGGTCCGTGGGGTGGGGGGCTCCCTGCGCACTGTTGGGGTTCCTGTTTCCCAGACTTGCCCTTGGCCCATGTCACCCCCACGCCAGGCCCTTGTTTCTGGGCGCCTTAGGGAAGGTTCCTGCTCTGTGTGCCTTGATGGGTGCCCCATTTCTGGGGAGCTCCCTGCTCTGTGTGGGGCCTGCAGGCACCCTAGGCGCTCCCTGCTCTGTGCACCCTAATAGGTGTCAGTAGGCTTTGGATTTGTTTGCCATTTGGGTTCTATGCGATCCAGCCCAGGCAAACAAACTGCCCCAAGGCACAATGCTCCACACTGCAGCTCCCTCTCTTTGAGGGAAGGGGCGAAGCTAACTTGCTCCGGGATGAGCTTGCCCCTCCCCAGCACAGGGGACTCCTGGCTGGTGTCCTTCTGCACTGGGGAAGGGGCTTCTGGAACTCCAGTAGGTGCCAGCGCTTTCTGCAGGAGTTCCCTTGGAGGAGGGACGGGGGAAGAGGTGTATTTACAGCACACAAACTGTGCTTCCTTCTGGGGTTCACTCCCTCCGGGGTGCAGGTCTCCAGAGTCATCCCTGACCATGGCTCCAATCAGTGGTTTAGCCCAGAGCAGATGTGGCTCCACTAAGCTAGGCACACCCATACCTCTACTGTAGTTCGGTTGTTCTCAACCTTTTCCATACCAGAAACCCCTGTTACACAGAAACATGTTTGGGACCCAGACAGCCATACAGACTCATAGACTTTAAGGTCAGAAGGGACCAATATGGTCATCTAGTCTGACCCCCCGCATGATGCAGGCCACAAAAGCTGACCCCCCCACTTTCCCTTAGCTCTGCTGTTGAAGTCTCCAGATCGTGATCTAAAGACTTCAAGTGGCAGAGAATCTTCCAGCTTGCGACCCCTGCCCTATGCTGCGGAGGAAGGCGAAAAACCTCCAGGGCCACTGCCAATCTACCTTGGAGGAAAATTCCTTCCCGACCCCAAATATGGCGATCAGCAGAACCCCGAGCATACAGGCAAGATTCTCTAGCCAGACCCTCATTTTACCAGCGATGGCCGTTATTGCCTAATTGATTAGAATCACGTAATCCCATCAAACCATTCCCTCCATAAACTTATCTAGCCTAATCTTGAAGCCAGAGAGGTCTTTCGCCCCCACCGTTTCCCTCGGAGACAAGGAGCATAGCTGGGGACCTCTGGAGCAGAGAGGGTAACTGCTCTTTGCACTGCTGTTCTTGACACCTGATGTCAAAGATGGCCATGTCTCTGTAGTGCAGCCACTATCCAACTTGCTGGTGAAACAGGTTTTCCGAACCAGTTTAGCGGTGTGCTGGTGTGGACCTGGCTGAGCAGTGGAGACTCAAACCAGCCCACCTATGGCTTTGTCTGCTCCACCAGGACTGTCGCCTTCCAGAGGAGATCACAACACAGTCCTGTGAGGAGCAATAACACTTGTGCTGCTCTGTAATTCAGAGTCCCAGAACAATTCCAGTGGGGCTCAGTGCTTTTTTGGGGGGGGGGGGGGGGCAGCAGGGGTTTGGAGCCAGGATTCCTGAGTTCCTTTCCTGGCTCTGCCAGTGACTCGCTGTTTGACATGCGGGGTGGGGGCGTCAATGAATCTCCCTTCTGAGCCTAGCTCTGAGTTCAACCCTGCCCTGTTTCCCCTGGATTATTTTGAACCCTATTTCCTCTTCCAGTCTGGAAAAGGGGACTCCTCAGAGGGGTGGGAAAGACACAGCCGTGCAGGGAATGGGGCTAGGATGCAGGAGAGAGCGAGCTGGAAACCATTCACAGCGAGAAGCCAGCAGTGAGTCTCCAAGCTCCCTGCATGGGGGCTATGTACGTGCCACACCCAGGGGCGGCTCCAGGCACCAGCGCACCAAGCGCGTGCCTGGGGCGGCAAGCCGCAGGGGGCGGCCTGCCGGTCGCTGTGGGGGTGGCAGTCAGGGAGCCTTCGGCGGCATGCCTGTGGGAGGTCCACCGGTCCCGCAGCTTCGGCAGCAATTCGGCGGCGGGTACGCCGAATCCGCGGGACCAGCGGACCTCCCGCAGGTGCACCGCCGAAAGCCGCCTGACTGCCATGCTTGGGGTGGCAAAATACATAGAGCCACCCCTGGCCACACCTATGTCCAGGTGGAGATTTGCCATGGACAGCTGGCTCAGCTACCTGCTGGAGGAGGCTAGCGGGTTTGGGATTGGTGATGGAACAAGGAGGCTTTCAGCTCTGGTTTATGGGATCAAATCCAGCTCAGATCAGTAGTAACTGAAAGCCCCAGTTCAGCTACCAGTAGCCACAGGTGTTAGCAGCAGACCAAGGCAAAGAACCGAGCAGGCCATGCAGGCAGGCTGAGCTCCCTCTTGGTCAGCACTGAGGTATGTTGGCAGCATGGACATGTGGAGAGGGCAGGGAGGAAGCTTACACATCGGTTACTGGTGCTGGGCCTGTCCTGGGAATAAGGAAGTTGGCAGGGCTGCGCTAGCATGAGCATTAAATACACGTGTGAGAGAGAGAGGAAAAAGTGGCAAGAGGCCCCATGTATCTATTATAATCTGTTCCCGCCAGTCTTTCCTTGTAAAACTGCCTTGTGTGTGTACATTCCACCCCACCTTGAAACTGGGGGTGGAGCTAACAGTCCCTGCTGGCTGATGGAAATATTTGGGAATTACTGGAATTTGTATAAAAATGTCCCTGCAAGGTGTGTTTTGGCCATTAATTGCACAGTTGTTGTTTAAAGGAAATGAGGAATGCTGCAGATTTAACTGCTGCCTGTCTGATTGGGCATTAATCTGCTCGCCAGTCCTACATGCATTTGCCTTTTGGTTGCATGTGCTGCTTAGGTATCTGTCTTATTTTGCTTAAAACCAATAGGCTCTTGATAATCTGCAATGTATGGTATGAATGAAATCTTGGTCTTGTGCCACTTCTGTTTTGGTCCGGATACTTCCTGGAGTGTGAGGCAAATGTAGTGTGGTCTAGTGGACCGAGCATGAAACCATGACCTTGGGCAAGTTACTTAACCTTTCTAGTATCTCTCTCTTAGCTCAGCTGACTCACAACACCTTGTGAGGCAATTATTAATGACTGTTCATACATTGCTCTGGCACAGAACCATGCATCTTCAAAGCAAACTATTGTAGTAGCATTGTTTGTGTATGATTAAATGCATAAAGAACTAGCTGAGAAGATCTCCTATAATGGGGTGCAAACAAGAAATTTTGTGGTTGTGTCAGATAGTCTGTGTGTCCAGGTGTGGCCCTACATCTTGGTCTCCAGACACAAATCCTGTCCTCCCTGCCTGTGAGGATTAAATCAGCCCAATGCAGGGCTCTCAGGAAGGGAGAGATGCCCTCCCATAAGACCAACCCTGCCAGCCAAGATCCTCGAATCTGGGCTCTGCTGGTGACTTGTTCTCTCTCCAGAAGGGATGGAAAAGGGGCTTCCATTGGTTGCCACAGCCCAGGCCCCACACTGGGGTCAGCACAATGCCATGCCCGACGCCTACCATGGCATGCGCTTGACCACAGCCAGCTCCTATGTTTCACACGTAGGTGTCGATAAAGCTAGGTATCTAAATCAATGTTTAGGGCTTGTCTACATGGGGTGTCTTCCACTTCCAGTATATCTGGAATTAAGCTAATTTGGCATAAATCTGTCCCATACGTGAAACTAATCCGGAATCGTTAATCTGCTTTAAATTCACACCCTACCTTAGTTCAGTTTAGCTTTCATGTGTAGACAAGCCCTGAGTGATCTAACCCACTTTGCTGAGCACCTGCAGCTCTGTCTGAAATGGGAGCAGGGCACTTGTCAGTTCTGGAAGATCTAGCCCAGGGGTCGGCAACCTTTCAGAAGTGGTGTGCCGAGTCTTCATTTATTCACTCTAATTTAAGGTTTCGTGTGCCAGTAATACATTTTAACGTTTTTAGAAGGCCCCTTTCTATAAGTCTATAATATATAACTAAACTATTGTTGTATGTAAAGTAAATAAGGTTTTAAAAACATTTAAGAAGCTTCATTTAAAATTAAATTAAAATGCAGAGCCCCCCGGACCGGTGGCCAGGACCTGGGTAGTGTGAGGCCATAAGTTGCCTATCCCTGATCTAGCCACTTACTCAGGGTCCTAACTGTTGATCTAATTACCTAGCTTTGTAGATGCTCAAGTTTGAAATGTTGGTGTCTGTGTGGCTGTCTTTCCACCTCCTCAGTCCAGATTTAAGATTTGTTCTTAGTTCATAGTAATCTTAAGTAATACTTTTGCTTAAGGAAGGAGCTGAAATAAGGGAATTGGGAGAGCTCTTCTTGCTAAAACAAGGAGAGGTGCATGAAATAAACTGGTGTCCTATTAGATGCACAGTCGGGAAAGTAACTGAAATACTTTGCTCATGGATTGTATTTTCTAAATGGACAACCTACCCTAAATTTTCAAAGGCTGAGGGACAATCTTCACTCATTGCTATATTTGCTTTCCACAACCAACTCTCTGTATAACTTTTCATGCGTGATGTACCCGAATGCTTGGCTGCTAATATCTAAACTGTATTCTTAAATTTATTCACCTACATTTGGGTTATTGCTGATTATGCACTATATGTATCTTATGACTTTAAAAACAAACTTTGTATTTGTGGGTAATCTAAGCACGACACCCAGATGTACAGACACTCTTTTCTTAACCTGTGTACTATATCCTTTTTTAACATTAGTTTTAATAACATTTTAAAATCTGAAATCCATGTGGCTGGTTGGTTGTCCCAAAGCCACTCTTGACCTCTAAACCACCATATTGGCCCATGGGTGGGGTCAGCGGGTGGAAAGGCTTCTTAACGAATAGCTAGACCATCTGGAGGGCTTCCTCCCATGTGGCACCTGGGTGCATGTGCAACTGCCAGCACTTGCTACTCAAAGCCTAGATCCACCTGTCCGGCAGCATGGGAATGAAAGCTTGTCTATCTTGTCTTGGAGGATCTGCTTTCTGGGCCCCTCCCTCCACTTCCTGACACTTTCACACTGGGGGTTTTGGGCACCTGTGATGGGAGGAGATGTGGGACTGCCATCTCCGAGTGAGTCTTGCTGGTTACACTGGGTGCAATTATGTCCCGTATTGCAAGGTGATGGCAGATGCATTCCTGCCTGTGTCTTACATAGATAAGCAGTTGACCCAGCTATCTCACTGCTGGGCCCTCCCCAGGCAATGCAGCATCCATCCATCAGGGGAACTGAGCCCAGCCCAGCTGTACAGATAAGTGACTTTGGCCTCTAATGTTCCCAGGATGCCAGAGGCGGGGGGAGGGATGGTGTTGGTTTCTAGAAACATTCCCTGCTGGGGGGCTCTGGGGCAGGCCCGGGCTCTGGGGATCAGGGAAGGGTAATATTGCCTGCTCTGAAGGTGCATGTGGTGGTGGCGGCAGAGAGGCCGATCCCAAGCCATAGTCTCCCCTAGCAGAGACCTGGCCCTGTGGCTTTATGCCATGTGGTGCGTGGGAAACGGCATCTTGTCTCCCAGCAGAGAGAGGGTGACTTGTATTCTCTGGGCAGTGACTGGAGACTGTGGGTCAGGCCCTCGCCGGAGGATCTGGCTGCGGTCGAGTGCATGCCATGGTATGGGTCAGGCGTGGCGCTGCGCTGACCCCAGTGTGATCCCATCGGCCAATGGACGCTCCTTTTCCATCCTCGCTGGAGAGAGAGCGAGTCACTGGCAGAGCCCAGATTGGGGCACCTTAGTGACTGGGTTGGTCTTATGGGAGGGCATCTCTCCCTTCCTGAGAGCCCTGCATTGGGCTGACTTATCCTCGCAGGCAGCAAGGACGGGATTTGCCTCCTCGTGGAACCCGTTAACACTGCAGTGGATCGTGCTTTCTGCCTGGCCTCCGTGTTGCTGGCAAGTCTGTTCCCTCTGGCTTCCCTGATCAGGCTGGAGTATGTTGTCCCTAGTCCAGAGGTGGGCAAGCTTCAGCCCGCGGGATCCTTCTGCCCGGCCCCATAGCTCCTGACCCAGGAGGCTCGCCCCCGGCCCTTCCCCTGCTGTTCCCCCTCCCCTGCAGCCTCAGCTCACCCCACTGCTGGCGCAACACTCTGGGCAGCGGGGTTGCGAGCTCCTGGGGCGCAGAGCCCGGCCTGACCCAGTCTCTGTGCTGCGCAGTGGCATGGCTGGCTCCAACCGGGCGGCACGGTGCTCCAGGCAGCGCGGTAAGGGGGCGGGAAGCGGGGGGCGAGGGGGGTGGATAGAGGGCAGGGGAGTTCGGGGTGGTGGTCGGGGAACGGGTTGAATGGGGGCAGGGGTCCTGGAGGGCAGTCAGGAAGGAGGAGGGTTTGGATGGGGCGGACGAGGGACAGGCAGGGGCAGGGGTTCCAGGGGCGGTTGGGGATGGGGAGAAGGGGTGGTTGGATGGGGCAGGGGTTCGGGGGGGGAGGAGTCAGAAATTAGAGGGGGGGTTGGATGGGGCAGCGGGGGGCAGTCAGGGGTGGGGGTTTTGGGGGTGGTCAGGAGACAGGGAGCAGGGGGGGGGATGGGGCAGGGGTTCCGGAGGGGCCATCAGGGGGCGAGAAGCAGGGAGGGATAGGGGGTGGGGACCGGGCCACGCCTGGCTGTCTGGGGAGGCATAGCCTCCCCTAACTGGCCCTCCATACAATTTCCGAAACCTGATGCGGCCCTCGGGCCAAAAGGTTTGCCCGCCCCTGCCCTAGTCAGTATCCCTAATAGCAGTGGGGAGGGTGACTTGTGTGCGCTAGCGGCGAGGGAAGCGTAGAAACAGGGCTCTTAAATCCTAGTGCCTGCAGACAGCACAGCGTGAGGAGTGGGACAGGGAGAGCTGTGCTGAGCTGGGAAGTTATCCCTCCGTGCAGCAGGGCTCTGGTGCCCAAATGAAAGCACCAGCTGCTGACAACCCTTGTGCCAGCGCCCTTGCCCAGGCTGGGGGACACTTGACGTGCTCACGGAGTGACGTGGTGAGAGTGGCGTTCAGTGGAGCCTGGCTCGCTCAGCGCCGAGGAATGCGGTTTGGGCCTGGTGCCAGGAGGGAGCTGTTTACAAAGCACCTCAGAAATGTGATTCACAAAGGGCCTGGGATCTGGGTCCCGCCCCAGGGGATGTTTCCGGGGAGACTTGGGACGCGCTGGGCTGTCAGATGCGCGCTTGGCAACGGGCTGCAAAATGCAGAATGAATCCACACGTCCGGGTGTAAGAACTTGAGGTCAAAGGATCCCAATTCCTAACCTGGCCGCCAGGGGAGGGCTGGGGTCACAGTGCAGGGAGATGAATGCAGCTTCCAGGGAAATGGCGAGTGACCCTCTCTGAGCTGCCCTTACAGAAACTAGATCAGACCTCTGTGGTCTGCGGCCAGGGGCAGGGCAGGATCCGTCCCTGCTGCCCACTCCAGTCACAAATAGGGTGACCAGATCGCAAGAGTGAAATATCAGGACACAGTGGGTGAGCGGGGCGGGGGGAGGGGAGAGGACGACAAAGACAGACACAGGTGCACAGAGCCATGAGAGGGGGCCCTAGGAAGCTGCGAGAGGGGTTGTACAGCCCCTGCTGCAGCCCGCACCACAAGCCACAGGGCAAGGACACCTATTGAATTCAATGAGAATTTTGCATGTGAATTGATGTACCTAGTTCTGAGATTATAAAGCCAGAAGGGATCCGGTGATCACCTGGTCTCACTGCCTGTATAGCACAGACATAGAACTTTCCCAAAATAATTCCTAGAGGATAGCTTTTAGAAAAAGCTTTTAGAAAAACACCATGACCCTTAGTATATTGTTAATCGTTAATTACTCTCACCATTGAAAAGGTATGCCTTATATCCAGTCTGAATTTGTCTAGCTGCAACTTCCAACCGTTGGCTCATGCTCTACCTTTCTCTGCTAGACTGAAGTGCCCATTATTAACGATTTGTTCCCCATGTAGATACTTACAGTCTATAACCAAGTCACTTCTTAACCTTCTTTTTGTTAAGCTAAATAGATTGAGGTCCTTGAGTCGATCACTATAAGGCATGTTTTATAATCCTTTAATCAGTCTTGTGACTCTTCTCTGAACACTCTCCAATTTATCAATATCATTCTTAAATTGTGCACACCAGAACTGGACACAGTATTCCAACAGTGGTTGCACCAGTGCCAAATACAGAGATAAAATTACCTCTCTACTCCTGCTTGAGATTCCCCTATTTAGGCATCTGGCCACCCTATTTCTGTATGCATTTCCCCAGGTTTTTTTGTAAAAATCAAAACTGAACTGCCCCATGAAATTCTGTCATGTGGAATCATCGTGAAACTCGCATGGCTCCAACCCTGCCGATGAACCTTTAGATCCACTGCACAGACTTCTGCCACTTGAGCTAATGGAGTAAGTGATCGCAGAAGCAGTAGGTTGTCATCCTATATGTGATCGGTCAGCTCTATAGGGGGATGAGACACTTTTTTTGCCACTGGGTTTCACAGATATCTGCTGACAGAAGAGGAACTGTGAA